CCTGGGGCTCAGACTTCATCACTGCCTCATGAGGCGCTGGCTAATAATAATCTGGTGTGTGTGTGAGGGCACATCTCAGTGTGTGTGAGGACAGATCACGCTCAAGGAGGAAGTGTTGTAATATCGACCCCAACTGACAGAGGGCTGACAGCATAGCTGTTCCCAGGAGCTCAATCCTTCCTGTATAATCCAGTTATGGGTGAGATTGGGTCCAGACTATCTCACAAGCAAATCTCAACAGGACATTCCTGGCATTTGCTATCTTAAGGAATAACTGATAAGAACAGATTCCACACTTGATCTTCTATAATGTACTGATTTCCATACCTCCCTGTTGCTGATTGAGCCTGGACTATGATCTTTAATGTCATTTGAAGGTTGATACCACCAGCAGCGCAGTGCTCCCTCAACGTATCACTGGAATATCAGCTAAAAGGCCCACAGTCTTTAGATTCAAAAGTGAGAGCCACTATTTGTGCCAAAATGACACCCTTAATACTGTAAGCCTTTGAGATGAAGAATAAGAACAAGTATATGTTGGGTGGTAAAATATTACAAGAAAAAACAAAGGGAATTGGGGGTTAATGTACCTAAATCCTTCAAGGTGGGAAGGCAGATAGACAAACCTGTCCAAAAAGCAAATGGATTATTTGGTTTTATAAATGGCGGCTTAGAATATAAAAGCACAGAGGCAATGCTAGAGTTAGTTAGTTAGTTAGTTAGTTAGTGATTAGAAGGTATCAATTGAAGACAGTAAATGAGCAAATGTTTTCATGCACAGAGTAGTTAAGATATGAAATGCGCTGCTAGGAGGGGTGGTTAAGTCAGAATCCACATTAGGCTTGAAGAGGGAACAAAACAAATACCTTAAAAAGGAGTCAGCTACAGAGGTAAATAGTAGTGAAAGGATTGCTCTTGAGGGAGCCGAACTAGAAACAATGGGCTAAGCACTCCAGCACTGGGAACGCTCTTTGGGAAGTCCACCCCACCCTGTTCCCGCTTCCCCTTGCCCTCCGCTCCCCATCCCCTCCACCCTGCGCCTTCACTCCCCCCACCCTGCACTCCCTCTCCCCTCAGCCTGTCTTCCCCTCAGCCTGTCGTCCCCTCAGAGTACTCAGCTTTCCATGGAGCCCAATACCACAGTCCAGAGATCATTCCTAATTAAAAAGTCTGTTAATTATGAACTAGCGCTGAATTGGATCAGCCATTCTCCTCAGGCTGTGGGGCTGGTAAAGATAGACAGACAGCTTACACTAGCCTTGTGTAGCAATTTGCTATCTTCTCTTGTTGAGGACAGCAGCCCTGCTCTGAATGTCAATTGATAATGTGTTGGGTCGGTCGGGTGCAAGAGTTGGATTGATTGCAAAATCGATGCAGATGAGTTGCACTGTAACCAAAAATCTTTTTCTCTTTGCCTTTTAGATCTTTCCAAAGATGTCCTGGAAAAATGCAGAGCATCAAACCAAAGAGAAGGGACTTACACAGGGCCCATCAACCAGTAAACCCAGATCAATGCTTTAGGATGCACCGAGACAGTAGAAGAAGAGGACACAGGTTTACCGAGAAGGTAATTAATGACTGGAACAGATTGCCAGGAAGTGGTGGTTGAGGCCAGGACACGCGACCCATTTGCAAAGCAGCACAATGCTCTGTGATAGCGGGATGGTATGGGGTAATGAGAGTTGTTTTGCAAGGGGTGGGACCTGTGGCCAAAGAGAAGTTGACAATGTCCGTTAACAGAAGGCAAGGAAGTGGGCTTGGGAGGTCCGGGGAGGGGCTGGACCCTGTGGTGGGCTTCATTTGGAAGATGATGGAAGAGGGGGAGATGTGGTTGAAGGTGTGGAGGTGGGATAGGTGGAGGCTGAAGAGGTAAGGGACAGTATGGCAGAAGGAAAGGCAACAACAACAAATGACATTTACACAGTGCCTTTCACTTTGGGAGGATGTCCCAAGGCGCTGGACAGTTGAGGTTGGGATAAGGAGAGGCGGAGGGCAGGGATAATGGGGGCAGGAGGGTGGCCGAAGGTGCTGCCGAAGAGGAGGGTCTTGAGACGTGCCTTGAAGGAGGCAAGGGAGGGAGCAAGGTGAAGGGACTCTGGGATGGAGTTCCAAAGGACAGGAGAGATAAGGGAGTGTGGCAATAGGGAGGGCAGACAGGCACAGAATTGATTTAATTCTGATTTTTTATTCCCTGAAGTGTCAAAAGTGTTTGCGTATCTCCCCAAGGAGGATAGCCATGAGTTTGGCAGTCGTCTGATACATATAGAAGGGTAAGTGTATGGTATTATCAGATGATAAAGTCTGACACTGATGTACACTAACAATTCAGAGTGACCGGCATTTGGCCATGTATAAAAGGAGAAAAGTAAAATATCTCCTCTTGTGTGGACGTTGCTGGATATGGAAGCTTCCGGACAGTTTCAGTATTACATTCACACAAGCTAAAATGTTAAGCTTGAGAACAACAGGAGGTACTCAAGCACATATTAGTTAGTGGACAAGAACACACATTCCATGAGATTAGCTTCTGAGAAGGAAAGCTTCTAGGAGGGAATTAGAAAAATATCTGAAAAAGAGAAATATGAAAAGCTGTGTGTGAGTTTGGGGGGGAATTTGGTGCTGCCATCTCTTGCTGAGATGGAGTCTGTTGTGACATGTTTAATCTTCCCGTCCAGGAATTACTAATATAATCATGTTCTTCCTGGCTCATTGTCAAATTGCTCCTTTTATTTCCAAAAGTTTTAAATACTCTTTGAGCGATACAGGGACAAAATGAATCTGAAATACATTATTTTAATAAAATTGAACAAATGTAATAATTACAATGAGTTGTATATCCATCACTGTGGACAGTTGAGGGTTTGCATCCAAATTGGGGTTGGATTCAGGAAGGGTGTGGGGTCAAGGGGTGGTGGGGATGGGGAGGGGGGAAGATGATTGAAGGCACAGTTAAAGAGGAAGATCCTCAGATGGACCTTGAAAGAGGTAAGGGAAGGGGCAAAGTGACAGTACTCCAGGATGGAGTTCCAGAGAATGTGGGCAGATAGGCTGAAAGACTACCATTGGTGGGGCAAGCAAGGCAGGGTATGTAGAGCGGGTCAGTGCCTGCTGAGGGGAAGGGTTTAAGAAGATCACAAAGGTTAGGTGGGCAAGACCATGGAAGGATTTAAAAGTGATGATGAGGATCTTAATCCTATGGGAGAATGGGGGCCAGTGGAGCTGGTGAGGAGGGGAGTGATAGGCTCCTGAAGCCTAATATGGGAGAGGACGCGAGCTGCAGAGTTCTGGATGGTCTGCACCTTGTTGGATAGTCTGGCCAGCAGAAAGCTGATGAGGAAACTCTTGAGGTTTGGGAATCCAACTGGATTCTGAGTTTCTGAAAATGCAATCGTATATCAATAATTCTGGCATTTGATGTAGCGCTTTTCACGTCTTCTCAACGTCTCAAAGCACTTCACAGAATAGACTGTATATTTGTGGATGAAATGCGACAGCCAATTGCGCACAGCAGTGTCCCACAAACTGTCATGGATTGAAGTGACCAATTTATTATTGCGTTTTTTTTGAGGGATTATTATCAGGTGTGTAGAGTAATGAAATTTGCCCAAGGTTTCACCCTGCCGGGAATCAAACTCAGGTCCCTGGCTTGCAAAGTGAGTGCTCTAACCACTGAGCTACAGGACTCCACGAGTCCCTGGAATCCACCTTGATCAGTTTACGAAGAGGTAAGCAGCTGCTCAAAGCTCTGCACCTCCAACCAGTGGAACCATCGCTCAATGGGAAGGGACATGTGTCCGTGCTGTGGACAGGAAGATGGTGGCAATGCTCTCACACATTTCTTGCTGAGCTGTGTCGCCCACCAAAAAGCTTGCAGGGAGTTCCTGATACCTGCCATCCACCTAGTGAGGGCTCAGTGTGTTGGGTATCAAATGATCAGCTCGTGACTATCATCCTTGGGAGAAGTAAGAGGGCTCTCCTTGGAGCTGAACTGGAGCAGAGGGGATGGTGGACGTGCAGAAAGTTTCTATCGGTCTCTCTCCTTCCGATGACCTTTATTTGTCCTTCAGTCTCAGTCCCTGGGATTTGGGTTGGGTCCAAACACTTGATCCGCTGCTCAATGGAAAGCTTGTTCTACGCAAAACAAAGAGACTTTTCACCAGCGTTATCCACCCCCCCCCACTAATCATGCTGCACACACTCACCCTAGTACAACAACAACAAATTGCATTTATACATCTCTCCCCACGCAGGATAGCATCCCAGAGCGCTATTGCACTCACCCCATCATATTGCTAAGTGCAGTCCATGACACTGCCCCAATTACCCCGTCTCACACACACTCAACCCATCAAACACACTCACCTCGTCATGCACATACACCCACCACCACACTCACAAGACCGGAAGATCACAAAATTGGTTTGGATGAAGCCCTTCGGCCTATCGATCTCATCCTTCCAGAACTCCCAACCTACCAATCCTCATCACAACATCAAGCTTCTGTTTTAAATGAGTCCAGTGCCATGGCCTCAACCAGGCTTGCTGGTAATCTGTTCCAGTCATTAAGTACCCTCTGGGTAAAGAAATTCTTCCTACTGTTTGTCTTGAAATTGCCTCTTTGCATGGATCTTCCAATCAATACCTTTGAAGACCCTCCCAAGCCTTGAGGAGCTATAATACAACAGTTGGGATACCCACCTACATATCTCACTGAACGGCCCAGGCTTCAAGATGGCGAATACAGTGCAAAAGATCCTCAGCGTTATTTCTGTCTACAAGCAGAAGTCCCCCCAATCCTATCAGAAATGTCTTGCTAGAGATTGAAAAAGACAGAGATGATGTGTGTATCTGTTTGAGCTGGAGAGAGAAAGACCAAGCGATTTAAATAGAGTGTGAGAGGTTGAGAAATATAGATGGAGACATCAAGATAGATAGAGATAAAGAAAGAGTTAAATCAACACACAGACAGATAGTTGGGGTCGTCTGAGGGGTCTCTGTGACAATCACAGGGGTGGGTCTGGCATGCGGAGTGCAATTGGTCAACAGGAATCCAAATCATGTGACTTGATTCAAGTTTACTTAGAAAACAGAGATTTAGCTTCAGAGTTAATTCAAACGAAGCTCAGAGAGTCCATGAGCACAAGTGGGAGAGAGAGAGAGGATCAGAAAGCCAGCACGTTTCTTTCCATTTTCAAACGTTTCCTGCTACAAAGCCTTTCAGCTCACCAACAGAGATGGGGAGAGGGGTAAGTGGATCAAAGCCCCGAGGAATCCTGCGAATACACTGGAGGTGCACTCTTAGCAAATAATAATAATGATAAGCCGTGCATTTGATATACCTCCTTATCATGTCTTCGAAACGTCTCAAAGTGCTTCATAGAATGTACTGTAAAGTGAATTGACTATATTTTGTGGGTGAAACGTGGCAATTGCGCACAGCCAGTGTCCCACAAACAACCGTGGATTAAGTGTCAAAATTATTATTATTTTTGAAGGGATTATTACAAATGCAGAAAGCTCTGCGTTCTGCCTGCCTGGTTACAGGGTACAAGTTGAGTACTGGAGTACTGTACTGTAGCTGCCTTGCTCACTGGGTGTGGGGCTATGTATAAAGTGGTAATGGCGAGGGAGTCGGCAATGGAGAGGGAGCTGCGTGCTGTAGCGGCTCAGCGTCGCTGCTGGTTATAAAGTGAGCTCCTGTCAGTACTGTAGCAAGAACGGAGACAGTGTAGGAAGTGGAACTGAGTTTGTTAGACTCTCTCATTGGTGCTGTGCCCAGGGAAGACAAGGGGGGCTGGGGTGGCGAGGGCATATGGGGAAATCGAGAAGGCGGGGGGGAGAGGGGGCAGTGAGGTGGGGAGGTGGGCAGGCAAGGGCAGTGAGGGTGGGAAGATGGAGATTGAGGAAAGGAAGATCACCAAAAGTACGTCAAAGAGGAAGGTCTTGAGGCCAATTTTGAAGGAGGCAAGGGAAGGGATGAGTCGAAGTGACTCCAGGATTAAGTTCCAGAGAGTTTGGGCAGATAGGTTGATGCTATCAGTGCCTGAGGTGAGAAGGCGCTGACGGGAGCCAAGTAGGAGATACTCTGTCTTGCTGAAGTTCAACTCAAGAAAGTTAGAGCTCAACCAGATACGGTGATGCCAGGAGAGGACAGAACCATTAAAGTGGAGCTGAGCGGAGAGGCGTGACCCAACAAAACAAAATCGTCAGCCTGGTTAGGCCGGTAGCATTGTTGCTTCTCAACCAAAAAGTTGTCAGTTCAAGCCCTTTTGGGACTTTGAAATCACATAATTAAGGTTGTTGCTGTAGTGCAATGCTGGGGGTGGGGAGGTGTTTTGCATGGATGTGCCATCCTTCAGATGAGTCGTTAAACCGAGGTCCTGTCTGCCTGTTCAGATCTCACAGCACTATTTGAGAGAGAAGGGAGTTTCACCCGGTGTGCTGGACACCAGTAAAGTTGGTCATTCTCTTTATGTTTAAAGTTTGTACGACATTACTGCTGCCACATTCACCCACAAATACACAGTCACTACACTTTGCAGTTACTTTCTGTTGAGTAATTTGAGATATGCTCCTCACATGGAAGATGCTATACCAAATGCAAGGCTATTATTAGTAGTAACTCATTTTCCGTCATTACAGAATTTGAAGTTCAAGTATTTGAACAAGTTCTGTTTGGAAGGTTGAACAAGACTGAGAGAACCTCCAGGGATATTGGTGCATGGATTCACGGAGCTTAGCAAACAGATAGTGTGAGGTTTAGCCAGGAAATAACTGACCTTCAGGTCGTGGGAATGGCAGATTTCCAAGAAAAAGGAACAGGAAGAATCAGAAAAGAGTTCTGAAGATGTTGGAAAATTGCCTGTGCAAAGTGAATGGCTGTTAGTTTCATTAATTATTGTGTTTTTTTTCTCTGAAAGAGAAACCTTGACAAAATGCATGAAAGCCCAAGAATAGCAGGAGTTCTGGCGACTGGTATCTGTGCTCTGTAAATCCAGGGTAACAAAATCTACTCAAACTCCACAGTCTGGGATTGTCCCTCCCTCCCTCCCTCTCCCCCTGGCCTGGTGTCAGACTCCATCACTGTCAAGTGCTCCGGGACCCTACCCCGCATAAAGGGCACTTGAATGCAAATTGTTGTTGTTGTCCCAGGCTCCATCATCAATAGTGAGTCATACAATGTGGGGAGGTCCCAGACTCCCATCTCCTGAACTAGCCACACACAGCAGAACATTTCCAGGCACACTGTGTAACTATTAGAGAGTTGTGGTTTATTCAGCGACTGATGATCATTCATTATTAAAATAATAATCCTTGCATTTGAAATATATAGATGTCTCAAAGTATTTCACAGAATATATTGTAAAGTGACTCGACTGTATTTTGTGGGCGATAAGTGGCAGCCAATTGCACACAGCAGTGTCCCACAAACAGTCATGGATCGAGTCACCAATTTTTTTGTTACCCACGGAAAGCCATCCGCCAATCGACTAACAATCGGGATAGCTTGGCTGGCTCACTTGGTAGTATTCTCATCTGTTTAGAATTTCCCTCCCTCGCCTCCTTCAAGGCCTGTCTCAAGACCCTCCTTTAACATCCACTTGGACAGACATAATTGGATCACAATTGGTTTAATGTCTCATCTGAAAGTGGCAGCTCTGACAAGGTATTGCTCCCCCAGTTTTGCACTGGAGTATCACGCTCGACGATGAGTTCGAATGTCACAATATGAGGCGTTGTGCTTTCTGATGTGAGCCGGGCTGATAGCCTCTCTCCCCATTTCCTTCCTGTTGTCACAGAGTGGACGGGAGGTCAAGGCTCCAGACACCTCAGAGAATGCGGGGAAAAAGAAGAAAGTGAGGAAAAACATGGATGAGTTAAAGAAAGAAGTCACTATGGTGAGTGGATTCAAGGGCAGATGTTCTGGAAGGATAAGCTCGGGCGGGGGAAGGACCTTCTTCATCTAAACTAATCTTGTGAATGTTTCAAAAGGGGAATTGGATAAGCAGCTGAGTTTAAAGACCTGCGAGGGAAGAGCTGTCACAGTGTCACAGCACATAATGTGATAAATGGCTCCTCTTTACATAATATTTCTACGTGAATTTTAAAACCTCTTACCTCTCTCTCACTCTCTCTCCTGAAGGAAGATCACAAGATATCACTGGATCAACTGAGTCGAAAGTACGGGACTGATCTAACCCGGGTAAGCACGGAGTGACACAGTGACACACAACAACAAATTACATTTGTTTCAGAGAGGGCACTTAGCATCCTTCAGAGGAAATGATCTGTCTAACCAGGGGGATGTAACAGATCCCGTTAAACAATCATAGGAACATAGGAATATACACACCCACCCATCCATCTCGCACACATACACTCACTCACCTGCATGAAAAGCTACATACACACTAAAAGGCAGACATACAATCGTGTAATCACATACAATCAATCAAACACAAACGGTCATTCAATCATTCATTACTTCCCACACAGGCAAACATACTCACCCACACATAAAGACACGCACCCTAAAATACACTCATACCCACTGGCCTGCCCACCCCACCATCAGCGGTCGAGCCATAATCCTTTCTACCCACACCTGGAACTCCATCCAACTTGCCTCCTTCAAGGCGCATCTCAAGACCTTTGACCGTGCCTTTGGTCATCCTCCCCCTCCCATCCCCTTGCCCTCCCCACCCCCTTAATCCCAACCCCAGCTTGGGTGTAAACCCTCGACTGTTCTTGGGACATCGTCCTGACGTGAAAGGTGCTGTGTAAATACAATTTGCTGCTGTTTTATGTGAGTGTGTGTGTGTGTGTGTGATCTTGCTCTGTGCAAATTGGCTACCGCATTTTCCTACCTCGTCACTGCTTGCTTCCTAAGTTCTGCCTTCTACTTACAGGGTTTAACCAACACACGAGCCAGTGAGATCCTGGCTGAAGAAGGACCTAATGCCCTGACCCCACCGCCCATCACACCTGAATGGGTCAAGTTCTGTCGCCAACTCTTTGGTGGCTTTTCCATCCTCCTGTGGATTGGGGCGATCCTCTGTTTCCTGGCCTATGGAATCCAGGTGGCCCTCGATGATGAACCATCCAATGACAATGTAAGATCATATGGGACAGGAAGGCAAGTGATTGATAAACTGTACCTTAGTGAATGGTGATCTCATGAGCAAGTTGCAGCAGAAGGGTTTAATGATTTTCTTTGGTTGGGGAATGGGTAACAAGAGGACATAGTTTCTGGATTGGTGTCAGGAAGAATCAGGAGAGATCAAAAGCAATTACTTCACTCAGAGGCTTGTTAGAGTTTGGAATTAATAATAAAAATAATCCTTGCATTTCATATAACACCTTATCATGTCTTCGACATTTCAAAGCGCTTCACAGATATTTTCTGTAAAGTAAATTGACTATACACAGCCATCTACGGAATCATTTCAAGTAAAACTAGCCAAGCAGTAACAAGATTAAGGAATAAGGGAGAGAGCTGGACAGTGGAATTAACGCATAATTAATTAAAAGGGGTGAAAATGGAGTGTGGGGGGGCAATGGTACAGATATAATGGTCTTCCTCTGTGTTAAAAATGTAAGTACTGTATTTAATTGTCTGCCTGGAACTTCATTTGCCGATGATCGGTGCAGCAGCACAGTGTCAAGCTCTCAACATGAAGCTCCTTCCGTCTTCTTGATGTAAAAGGCGCTACACAAATGTAATGTGCTGTTGCTCTTCTTCTCTCTCTGACTGCAGCTCTATCTCGGGATTGTCCTTGCAGGCGTTGTGATTATCACAGGATGTTTCTCCTACTACCAAGAAGCAAAGAGCTCCCGCATCATGGATTCCTTTAAGAACATGGTTCCCCAGGTCAGGCATTGTGTGGATCCAATGCCCATTATAGAGTTAGTTTCACAGCAGTTTGACAAAAGCTCTCGCGTGAGGACTTCAAACTCACTGAACCTGTGCGCAACCTTGGCATCAGGTTCAACCTTCAGTTATCCTTCCTACCCCGCATCTGGTCCCTGACCAGGACTACTTTCCTCCACCTCCATTGCATTGCCCACCTTTGACCCTCCCTTTCTTCATTTTTATACCTACGATGCAAGCAGATACACACGCAACAATACATTTACAAACACTAACTTAGGAACAAAACAAATGCACACAATATGTTTGCATGTACACACACACACAAGCACACACACAAACACCCACACATACAAAAACATAAATAGACATTCATACGTGCAATCATGTATGTGCACACGCCTATACAGCACCTTTAATGTAGTGGGATCTTAAAATAGGAGGGAGATTAAAGGGGAGGTACCCAAAGGCATGGTGGTCAAAGACGGGGTTTTAGATGTATTTTAGTAATGATGTACAGATCAGCAGTACCTTCAGGAGAGGATTCAGCGCCTTGGGTGTCCTCCCGGCCTGAAAGGCGTTTAACAAATGTAATGTATTATTCGTTTCCTCTCTCTCTTCAGCAAGCACTGGTGATCCGTGAAGGGGAAAAGATGGAGATTAATGCGGAGGCGGTTGTCACAGGGGATCTGGTGGAGGTGAAGGGTGGAGACCGCATTCCTGCAGACTTGCGTATTATTTCCTCAAACAGCTGCAAGGTGAGGGTCATAATGAGATCACTCACTCACGCCTCCACTGGATTCCTCCCTTTCTTATTGTTCTCTTCCTCCCATAATAATAATAATCCTTGTATTTGACTTAGCGCTTTATCACGTCTTTGAGAGGATATAACAGGTGAGAAAACTGATTTACCATAGAGCCACATGGACATAGGAGTCGCCCTATTGTTCATGTTAGTGTTTGCTCCTCCAGTAAGACATCCGTCCTATTCCCGTTTATTTCCCTGCTCATTTCCTGTAGCCTCTCATACCCGTTTTCTGCTTATGCTTATCCATTAAGGATAATAATCCCTTAAAAAAAATTAAAATAATAATTTGGTTACTCAATCCATGACTGTTTTTGGGACACTGCTGCGTGTAATTGGCTGTCATGTTTCACCCACAAACTATAGAGTCACTACGCTTTACTGAAGACCCGACTACCATTGGCGGTCTTCAAGGCATGTCCCAAGACCCTCCTCTTCGACCTCGCCTTCGGTCAGCCTCCTACCCCCACCCTCGCTGCCCTCTGCCCCTCCTGATCGCAACCCCCAGCTCGGGTCCAATTCCCTGACCATCCAGTGCCTTGAGACGAACTCCCGATGTGAAAGGGTCTGTGTAGATGTCATTTGTTGTTGTTAAGAAATGTCAGTCAGTATACCAGGAGCTAGTTTTACTTGAAATGGTTCCATAGATGACTGTACACAGTCAATTCACTTCACAGTATATTCTGTGAAGCGCTTTGAGATGTCTCGACTCCGTTTGTCTTCCAGGTGGACAACTCATCCCTGACCGGTGAATCTGAGCCCCAGACACGTTCTCCTGAGTTCACCCATGAGAACCCACTGGAGACAAAAAACATTGCTTTCTTTTCCACCAACTGTGTAGAGGGTAAGCTCATGCCAATGCTCTGTCTCCTTCACTCGTACTCAAAAAAAAATGTCAGTCACTTCAGGGCAACAATGTAGGCCGCACCGTACTCCTTCTCTCCCTATCTGCCCCAGGCTCCACCTCTGGTCCTGAGACGCATATAAAATGTGAAGTTAATAGGGTTTGAAATTTATTCTCACAAATGAGTATTGAGGCTGGATCAATCGAATCATTCAAAGGGGCAATTGGATAATTGTGCTGTGATGTGATGGCAGGTACAGCACGAGGTGTGGTGATTTTCACTGGTGACCGGACGGTGATGGGACGCATCGCAACTCTGGCCTCTGGGCTGGAGGTCGGACGCACCCCAATCTCCATGGAGATCGAACACTTCATTCACATCATCACCGGCGTGGCCGTCTTCCTCGGTGTCTCTTTTTTTGTCCTCTCGCTGATCCTAGGCTACACCTGGCTGGAGGCTGTTATTTTCCTGATTGGAATCATTGTGGCCAATGTCCCCGAGGGATTATTAGCAACAGTTACTGTGAGTCCATCCTCTCTCACTGTCTCTCTCTGACTTCTGTATTCTCTCGCTCTATTTCTGTCTGTTTCTATTGCTCGATGTGTGTGTCAACTCTCATCAAATAATAATAACTTGGTCAATCAATCCATGACTGTTTGTGGGATACTGCTGTGCACAATTGGCTGCTGCGATTCGCCCATAAATATACAGTCAATCCTCTTTACAGTATATTCTGTGAAGAGCTTTGAGACATCTCGAAGACGTGTTAAGGTGCTATATCAAATAGAAAGATTATTATTATTAAATACGATGAACAACACACTTTCCAATCTGACCTTCAGTGCATTCTCATTAATGCCCTGGATTACTGACTGCAGAGCCACCTGGCTCAGCGAGCGACTACCTGAGCGACTGTTGCCAAGCATGTCACCTTGTGGCCATTTCAGCTCACCTCCCTCCAAGAAAGATGGTATCTGATTGTTTGACATCTGACCAGCACAGGCTTGAGTCTCTCACTGGGTAAATGTGGGAACTCCCTGCCAGCTTCATTGTGTACCAGGCTTACTCAGCACACATTGCGGTGCAAGCAGCTGTTTCTCAATCTCCTCTATCCCTCAGTGTGTTGTACAAATCTATCTCAGACTCTCTCTCTCTCTCTCTCTCTCTCTCTCTCTGCTGTTGCATGTGTGTCTCAATCTCCCTCTCCCCACTGTGTTCCACGGTGTCTCAGTGTGTGTATGTGTGTGTCTCTCTCTCGCTCTCTCTTCACTGTGTTCCGTGTGTGTATGAGATTCTCTCTTCACTGTGTTATAGGTGTGTTTGACTTTGACTGCCAAGCGGATGGCGAGGAAAAATTGTCTGGTGAAGAATCTGGAAGCTGTAGAGACGTTGGGCTCCACATCCACCATATGTTCAGATAAAACTGGGACTCTGACACAGAACCGAATGACTGTAGCTCATATGTGGTTTGACAATGAAATCCATGAGGCTGACACCACTGAAGATCAATCAGGTAATTGGAAAAGGACCTCTCCGGCCATATTTCGTTGTCTGCAAAATTGTTTGTCTTCATTCATAGAATTGTAGAAAATTAGGTAAAATATGCCAGTAATTCGTCCTTTCTGTCCATGGAAAATATAGTTAGAGAACATTCCCTGTTCAGGTGGGACATTTGCTGGGCGCAATTGGCTGCCGCGTTTCACCCACAAAATTTACAGTCAATCCACTTGAAGAGCTTTGAGATGTTTTAACAATGTGATAAGGCACTGTATAAAATGTAAGGGCTATGATTATTATCTCAAGAGTCTTTCAAGCACACCTCCTTGTGTCTTGTTCATGCTCAAATCAGTTCACAAACATAATAATAATCCTGGCATTTGATGTAGCACTTTTCACGCCTTCTAGACGACTCAAAGCACTTCACAGAATAGACTGTAAAGTGAATTGACTGTATATTTGGGGGTGAAATGCGGCAGCCAATTGCACACAGCAGCGTCCCACAAACAGTTGTGGATTGAATTGGCCAAATTATTATTGTTATTTTTTCTTGAGGGATTATCATCAGGCATGTGTATGGAGTAAGGAAACTTGCCCAAGGTTTCGCCCTGCCAGGAATTGAACCCAGGTCTCTTGCTTACGAGGCAACTTCTCTAACCACTGAGCTACAGGACTCACACCAAGAGCAAGACTTAAACATGTTTGACATAGTGTCAACCTGGCTCTAGTGACAATCTCAGCTCCCCCCCCCCCCCCCCCCCATCCCCAGCTTGAGCTGCCAGTTAGCTGAGTGAAGCACATTGCATGCTGAGACATCCCGATGTGAAATGTGCTGCATAAATGTATTGAAATTGTAATGATTGTATGCTCTGTGTCTATTGCAAGGCGCTGCCTTTGATAAGACCTCCCCTACTTGGGCTGCTCTGGCCCATATTGCTGCTCTCTGTAACCGAGCTGTGTTTAAAGCTGGACAAGAGAACATCTCAATCTCTAAGGTCAGTCTCTCTCTCTCTCTCTCTCTGTCTGACTCTGTGTGTGTCTCTCTCTCTCTCTGTCCATCTTTCTCTGTCTGGGGTGAAGGGCTCTACATAAATGGAAGTTGTTGTTACTGTATTGCTCTCTCTGTGTCTCTGTCTATCTCTGTATTGCTCTCTGTCTCTTATCTGTCTCTCTAGTCTTTTACTCATACTCTCTCTGTATTTCTCTGTTCAATCTCTCTATATTCTGATCCCATTGCCCTACTTTTGCCTTTGTTTTCAGCACATGATAATGAGCTCCAGAGTACACATGTTGCTGACTGACTGACGATCAAATGATGCCTAATATTCACTCTTTCTCTCCCTCAGAGAGAAACAGCTGGAGATGCCTCTGAATCCGCACTTCTGAAATGTATTGAGCTCTCGAGTGGCTCCGTGAAGCACATCAGGGAGAAGAATCCCAAACTGAACGAGATCCCCTTCAATTCCACCAATAAATATCAGGTAATGATTCAGCCCAACTGCAACGAAAGGCATTTATATCATGTAGGAAAATGCCTTGAATGCTTCAAAGAGGAAGTCCGAGAGAGAGCACCAACCATGTGCTCCCTCAATCCCATCCCCGTCCCTCCTCCAAGTTCCACCTCCTTGCCACCTGCTAATGGACATCAAAAAGAAATAATAGTAATAAATTGGTCATTCATTCCAAGATTATTTGTGGGCCACTGCAGTTGGCTGCCACGTTCCACCCAGAAATTACAGTCAGTTCACTTTACAGTATATTCTGTGAAGCTTTAGACGTCTCAATGACCCGATAAGGCGCTATATCAAATGCAAGGATTATTATTATTATAAACGTCTCGTTAGGATGAATCATTGCTTCCCAGTTTTTCTCATTCCTCTCCCTGTACTCTCTGAAACAACCCCTCCGATTGAGTTTCTGGTCTGCCTCAGTACCGAAACGACCCTGGTCAAAGTCTCCAAATTTTTTTCCCCATCTTTGACCAGGGTTCTCTGCCTACTCAGTCTGCTCTCTTGCTCTCTCTCTTCTGCTTCGACATTCTTGATCATGTCAAGCGTTCCGGGACGCTACCCTGCGTGAAGGGCGCTATATAAATGCAAGTTGTTGTTGTTACCCTGCACCTCCTCAACTCTCAGCTCCACCTTCCTGGTTTCATTCTTACCTACCCCCAATGTCTCCACCTTTATCTCCTTGGAATGGCTTCCCCGTATTGTCAAGTGTAGCATTCCTCAGGGCTCTTTCCCCACGCTCTCCTTACATCTACATGCTCCCGTTTGATGATCTCTGGTGGCTTCTCTTCTCCCACAGCTCTCTATCCACACTCAGGAGGATTTATCTGATCAGCGTCACCTCCTGGTTATGAAAGGAGCTCCGGAGCGGATCCTGGATCGTTGCTCCCGCATTTTGATTCATGGAAAAGAGGAACCATTAGAGGAAGACATGAAGGAGGCTTTTCAGAACGCGTATCTGGAGCTCGGAGGCCTTGGAGAGAGAGTACTTGGTGACTATCCTGCTCCGTCTGTGGCTCAGCATTGCTGGAACCACAGTAGCTTTGTGGAGTCCTGTAGCTCAGTGGTTAGAGAACTTGCCTCGAAAGCAAGAGACCTGGGTTCGATTCCCGGGCAGGTCAGGGCGAAATGTTGGGCAAGTTTCCTTCCTCTGTTTACCTAGCAATAAGTAGGAACCCGGTCGTTTGTCGATTGGCGGATCACTTTTCCCGGGGTAATAACCCCTTCAAAAAAAAAATCTGGTCATTCAATCCACAGCTGTTTGTGGGGACGCTGCTGTGCGCAATTGGCTGCCATGTTTTGCCCACAGAATATACAGTCATTTCACTTTACAGTGTATCTGTGAAGCGCTTTTGAGACGTCTCAATGACGTGATAAGGCGCTGTAACAAATGCAAGGATTATTATTATTTAGAATCTTAAACGTACACAGTGGAGGAGGGAGCCATCATGTCTGTGCTTTTAGCCACTTGAGCTCTCTGGTTTCTGGTCTCTTTATTCTCATCCACTTCAAATGATTTCAGGCCCAGCAGCCACAAAATACATAGTCATTACACTTTACAGTATTTCCTGTGAAGCGCTTTCAGACATCTCGATGGTGTAATAAGACGCTGTATCAACTGCAAAGGTTACTGTCACATCCTCAGTAACAACTTCCAGCTAAACACCTCTGGCTTGACATTGCCTCATCCGGAGGACGGTACTCCCAACAATGCAACACTATATCCCTCCCCACCGTAGCAATGCATTGGAGAGTCAGCCTCAGACTATGTCGCTGACATGGGATTTGAACCCACAGCCTTCTGGCTTGAGAGGCGAGAGAGAGAGCGCTACCGACTGAGCCAATTGTCTCTCCTTTCAGGATTTTGTCACCAGTATCTCTCCGAGACTGACTATCCACGTGGTTATAAGTTTGACACGGACACTGTGAACTTTCCCACCAGCGAACTTTGCTTTGTGGGGCTGATGTCCATGATTGACCCACCTCGTGCAGCCGTCCCGGATGCTGTGGGCAAATGTCGGAGCGCTGGCATCAAGGTAAACGTTGCTCTCAGTCATCGAGTGCCAGCTGTCTGTCTCTCTACTCCCTCTTTCCCCTGCCTGTCAGTTCCTCTCCTGCTCTTGTGACTCCTTAGTAATTAGAGCACTCGCCTCGCAAGCGAGAGACCTGGGTTCGATTCCCAAGCAGGGCGAAACGTTGGGCAAGTTCCCTTACTCCACACGCCGCTGTTTACCTAGCAGTAAGTAGCAACCCGGCTGTTAGTTGGTTGGCTGATCCGCTTTTCTAGGGAGAATAATTCCTCTAAAAAAAAATAATCATTCGATGCTGCTGTGCGCAATTGGCTGCCGCGTTTCGCCCACAATATATACAGTCAATTCACTTTACAGTGTATCCTGGGAAGCGCTTTGGGACATCTCAAAGACGTGATAAGGCGCTGTGTCAAATGCAAGGATTGTTATTATTATTTTGCTGATTCCAGGTGATTATGGTGACGGGAGACCATCCAATTACAGCTAAAGCCATTGCCAAGGGTGTGGGCATCATTTCAGAAGGAAATGAGACAATCGAAGACCTGGCGCAACGCTTGAACATCCCCATAGAACACGTCAACCCGAGGTACAGAGTGAAGCTCCCTCTGCCCAGTGCCCCCTACTCAGCCACAACTCTATACAGCACAAGTGAGACAGAGTACAGCTCACTCTACACTGGGTCACCATGTCATGATCATACAGAGTAGATGAGTCACAGAGCAAAGCTCCTCTGCACCGTGTCCAGATAGATATAGAGTAAAATTGTACCCTCACAGGTAACCAGTCTCCCTTGGTCTCTCTGTACCTCAGGGACGCCAAAGCCTGTGTTATTCACGGGGCTGAGCTGAAGGACATGAGCAGAGAACACCTGGACGAGATCCTTGGCAACCACACCGAGATTGTGTTCGCTCGCACCTCACCCCAGCAAAAGCTCATCATTGTGGAAGGCTGTCAACGGCAGGTACAAGCTAGCTTCCAAGTGACTTCCTTCCCCCCCCCCCGTCTCTCCCGCAATCACTTTCTCAAACTCTGCCCGCACCCTCTTACACTCTCACATTAAAATAATAATAATTTGGCCACTTCAATCCACGACTGTTTGTGGGACGCTGCTGTGTGCAATTGGCTGCCGTGTTTCACCCAAAAAATATACAGTCATTACACTTTACAATATATCCTGTGAAGCGCTTTGAGACGTCCTGAAGACGTGATGAGGTGCTGTATCAAATGCAAGGATTATTATTATTATGTGTGTTTGTCTGACAGGGAGCCATTGTGGCTGTGACTGGGGATGGAGTGAATGACTCCCCGGCTCTGAAAAAGGCTGACATCGGGGTTGCTATGGGAATCTCTGGCTCTGATGTCTCCAAACAGGCCGCGGATATGATTCTTCTGGATGATAATTTTGCTTCGATTGTTACCGGCGTGGAAGAAGGTAACAGCAAGACACACACACACACACACACACCAGTCGCGGACTGGGAGAGAGTATCATTGTGGCAGCTTCCTTCCATTGGATTTGATCCCTGAACTGAACCACACCTAGTATTTGATGATCCCAGACGACATCTGTAGAGGCTGAGTCACACACGGGGCAGGACATTCCACTGCTCAATCTCTAGAGCAGATACACCAAATCCATTCCCCTCGACGCCATCCAACACATCAGTGATGAACATATTGAACAGGGTGGATGGCAGACTGCAGCGATGACCGGCATTATTCCCACTCCCCGCGCTGCGTCCTCACAACCGCCGGCTGGAGGGGGTGAGGGAGGGAGTGAGCGGGCGGCCCAAAGTTGGAAACGGTCTTGGACTGGATGATATTGTCCGCTGGGCTGGATGCGGCCCGCGGGCTGCCTGTTGGACCACACTGCCCTTCATGCCGGGGTAATGTTCCGGAGCGCTTCAACCAGAAGAGGTCACTGTTTTAAAGATTCTCCTTCCTATTTCAGGCCGGTTAATCTTTGACAACTTGAAGAAATCCATAGCTTACACCTTGACCAGTAACATCCCAGAGATTACTCCCTTCCTGCTCTTCATTATTGCAAATATCCCACTGCCACTGGGCACCGTGACCATCCTCTGCATTGACCTGGGAACTGATATGGTGAGTGACCTTGATCTGGGGGTGAATCAATCAGTGGGTTACATATAGATTGTGTGCCATCCTGGCTAAGTGGGTAGCACTTACCCCCATAACCCGCTGCCTTCGCTCGACTGGCTACGGCCTCATGCATGTCCCTCGTGCCCTCCGTTCCACCATCTGTGGCCGCGCTTTCAGCCACTGCGCCAGTGTCTCCGCCTTGCCCCTCCCTTCCTTCCCCATCTTCAGATCACGCCTGAAAACCTTCCTCTTCGACCGTGCTCATAGTCACTTCCCCCTTCCCCCGGTTCGGTATCGTGCTCCGCCACTGTCAAGCGCTCTGGGACGCTGCCCTGCGTGGGGGAGGGGCACTGTGTAAATGCAAGTTGTTGTTACCTTCGCTTTCTGAGATAGACCCCAAGTTCTCTGTCATTAGTGGAGACTCTGCCATCCCCACTAATTGCCATGATACTGTTGCTGTAACATTGACTGTTGTTGTGCTGTGTGACAGGTCCCCGCGATCTCGTTGGCTTATGAAGCACCAGAGAGTGACATCATGAAACGACAGCCCAGAAACCCAAGGACAGACAAACTAGTGAACGAGAAATTGATCAGCATTTCCTATGGACAGATAGGTAAATAATAGTGATTAGTTGTCACTCAGGTGTCTGACACGTTAAAGATTGGCAAACTTTGAGCATCTTAGAGTCTGACAGAGTGACAGCTGGACTGATGGACCATGTTTGAATATCGCAGGTATGATCCAGGCACTGGGTGGATTCTTCACTTACTTTGTGATACTCGCTGAGAATGGATTCCTTCCCTCCCGACTGATCAACATTCGTCTGGACTGGGACGATCGCTCCACCAACGATCTTGTGGACAGTTACGGACAGGAGTGGGTGAGTGGGGCACAGAGACAAAGGAGTGCGGAGAGGCTGAACCTCAATGTTAGAACAACAAGTAAGGATTCAGGAGCCAGTGGAGCCGGGCCAGGGTGGGGGTGATCAGCTCATGGAGCCTTGTGTGGGAGAGGACACGAGCTACAGAGTTCTGAATAATCTGCTGTTTGTGAAGGGGAGAGTTGGGGAGTCCAGCGAGCAGTGAGTGAGCGTAGTGAAGCCTGGACATGATGAAAGCGTGAATGAGGGCATCGGCGGGCTGAGGTGAGAGGTCATTGCAGAGGCGGCCAATGCGGAGGAGCAAGACAGGACGTGGGGTTACAGGAAAGTTAAGGGTGGAATAAGACACCAAGGTTCCTTACTGTCTCAGTGAGGTGGGGAGGGCATCTATGAATAGTGATGCTGTCAGCTCCTGAAGTGAGGAGGCTCTGACGGGAGCCTCCGTCTTGTCGACGTTCAACTAGAGGAAGTTAGCTCTCATCCAGGACTTGACATCAGGACAGCAGTGATCCTGGAGTCAAGGGTGGAGGTACAGCGAAACAGAGATAGAAAGTGGAACGGATTCATCATTCATCTTTGTTTCTTTGTTCAGACATATGAGCAACGAAAGATCGTAGAGTTTACGTGTCACACAGCGTTTTTGTGAGTATTGTGGTGGTGCAGTGGGCAGATCTCTTGATCTGTAAGACAAGACGCAACTCCATCTTCCAACAAGGAATGAAGTAAGTTACTGTGTCCAGGCCAGTGTGTAGGAGGGCATCAGAATCCCTCTCTCCACCCCACCCCCACCCCCTCACCAATCTACCCTGATGCTAGATGCCTCTCTTTCTCTTCGGAGGTGAGGGAGGGAGTCTGAAGATAATAGCTCCTCATTACTTGGGGCTGAAGGAGGGAATCTGTTTTATCTTGTACTGAACAGTAGAACCAGAGGACACGGCCTGCGATTGAAGGGGGAGTAAATTCAGAACAAATCTGTGGAAATGCTACTTCAGTGAGCAAGTAGTAATCTATGGAACAAGCTCCTCAGAGAGAGAAAGAGAGAGATAGACAGACAAACAGACAGAAGGACAGTGTAAGCAGAAAATGTTGTTTGTTTCAAGAACAAATGGGATCGATTTCTGCTACGAAGTAATATCTGGGGGATACAGGGTATGGTTTGGGACACGACATGTCAAGCGACTGCCAGGAGGGTGGAAGGTGAACTAGATGGACCTTGTTCTTCTTTCGCCAGTGAGTTTTTAGGTTTGTAGGGGCCAGCACAGCAACCAATATCTGGCAGCTTGTGTTAAAAATTCTAGCAGAACTTAACAGTCACTTTTGAAGAGGGTAATTTTTTTGCAGGAAGTTGTAAAATCCAGGCACAAGTGATGGAGAGATATTTAACTCCCTCTCTCTCTTTCCCTACAGGAATAAAATTATGATTTTTGGACTTTTTGAGGAGACGGCTCTGGCTGCTTTTCTTTCTTACTGTCCTGGAATGGATATTGCCCTCCGGATGTACCCCCTGAAGTAAGTACCGGATATGGTTTTGCTCCTGGATCAGAAGGTTGTGGGTTCAACTGCTGTCTTTGAACCTCAGTGTCATTATGGGGGAAGCACTGCATTGATAGAAGTGTCGTCCTTAAGATGAAGCATTAAACCATTAATCCTGTCTGCTCTGACCAAGGTCATGGACATGAAACATGAACTCACATCCTTGTCTCTATAGATGCTGCCTGACCTGCTGAATGTTCCCAGCCACATGTTTTTTATTTTAGATTTATAGCATCTGCACTATTTTGCCTTTTGCTCTTTGTAACATCAATAGGTTGACAGGACAAAGGCTGTTTTGTTCGGCAATGTTCAAACCTTTGCAGTTTGGTATCTTGACCAGATATGAGGCCTTCTATAATGTGAGTTGAGCTTCCAATAATGACCTTTGCTCAACATGTTGAATGCCAATTCAATACATTCAACAGCTCCCTGGAGGTTATCAATATTATACCAAGATCACAATGAAGAATAAATTCAGACTAAGTGAGAATTATTACCAGAAATAACTTAATGAATGTGCACAGTAAAATGACACCTCTTCCCTTATCCAGCAATAACTGCCTCCGTCTCTCACCCTCACAGACTGTCCTGGTGGTTCTGTGCTATTCCGTACAGCCTCCTGATCTTTGTTTACGATGAGATTCGTAAGTTCATCCTCAGGCACAACCCAGGAGGTAAGAAAGGAAGTGGGTAAGGGAGGGAGGAAAGAAGGAAGCGTGCAAATGAACGAGTGAGAGTATGAATGAATGAGCAAATGCTCAATGGTTTATGCTGTGCTACCTCACTGCCACCATTCTTGATGTGTGTTGAGATTGTTATTACGTGTGCATGTGTGAGTATGTGCATGATTGTGAATAACTGAGTGTGTGTGAGATTGAGCATGTGAATGTGAAGGTATGTATATGAGTGTTAATGTTTGCAATAGTGTGATGAGTGCGGAGTCCTGTAGCTCAGTGGTTAGAGCACTCGCTTCACATCGAGAGGAACTAGGTTCGATTCCCGGGCAGGGTGAATCGTTGGGCAAGTTTCCTTACTCCACACACACGTCTCTGCTTACCTAGCAGTAAGTTGGAACCCGCTTGTTAGTCGCTTTACCAGGAGGGAAATAATGCCTTAAAAAAAATAATTTGGTCACTCAGTTCCCAACTGTTTGTGGGGACTATGTTAATCCTTAATAATCCTTACATTTCACATCTGGGAGGACATTATGTGGGCAAACATGGCATCTAAGTGCAGAGCAATGTCCCAATTATAAATTGAATATACTCTCCAGAGGCGGCAGAACAAGACAATTCAGGTTTCGGGTTACAAAGGGCAATTAGAGCAGAGCCAGGAAGTATATCTTTATCCACGTGAATATATAGTGAGTGGAACAGGTACCATGGAGAGTAATTGAGGACACTGGATGCATTTAAAGAAGCAGCTCTATGTCGCAATAAGACTACAGTGTTGTAAAGATTTATTCACCTTCAATCTTCGTCCTTCCTGGTGATAGGACGACTGGTACAAGATTGTTTGATGGGATTGTGTGAAAAAGTGAGCACATGTATGAAAATGTGTGAGGTACCACCTGATATCTGAGACGCTACCCTGTGTGATGGGCTGTCCAGGTGTGATGATCCACGATGATTTATTTCTCCTTCCTTGCAGGATGGATTGAACGTGAGACTTATTACTGAGAAGTTTTACCGTCGCAGCGATGTACAGGACAGAACACTGGTGTGCCATCAGCTCCATGATTGTCGCTTGTTAAATGACACCATTATTTTTAAAGACTTAACAACTGATTTCAGAATATTTTCATCAATGGTTCACTGCAGTTCGATTAATATCAATTAAAAATCCAGCAATGCAATGTCTGACAAGACTCCATTACTCTAAAAACCCATCAGGATGCTTAAGGAGTTTGAGCCAGACAGAGAGTTCAACATATGGATGAAATTTCCCTGCGTCTGGGAATGGATTATTTCCTGGAGCTTGCCAAGAGTTTCCAACACCCAGAATGTTATCCTGTCCAGTAAATTTCTACAGTTTAATCCTGGTCAAACACATCCATTGACCACCATTGTGATTTCCTGAAAAAACAGCTACAGCAAACTCAATACTTTCAGAATTAATTGTATTTAATTCCACCCAAAGCCGACATTTTAGTTACTGTAGCACAGAGAGGGATGAATAGGTCCAAACTTCTGATTAAAGTCATCCTGAGCGAGAAGCAGAGCCTCCTCGTCTATGTAAACTGCCGGCCGTTTGGAGATCACAAAATATTGGGTTTTCCTCAGGCTCCACCCAAAGATGTACATCAGGAACCCGCAAACTGTGGCTGTGGATCTCCCCACTCCAGCATTGCAGTGAACATACACACTGTGCCCATTCGCCAGCAGCCCGTGCAGTAAGTACACAGCCTGCGGTAACATCTGCACTCGGCCTGAGGGAAGGCAAGACACACAAACCTCCATCATCTTCAACACTTACACAAACGCAGGTTTAAAAAAGGTAAAGACTCGGACAGGTTATTTATTTCAGGAACATAACAGAGTTCCGAGGGTTCTGGTGACTTCTGTTTTATTTTTAGAAGATCAGGAGTATTTGGGCTCAGGATCTTGGTGTCTTCATTGATTTGCGATGGGACTCCAGCAAACCGTTTATCCACAATAAGGAGATCTAAATTGCCACCCTCTCCCTGCTCACAGCACTCCTCCCTCATCCATCTCAGTGAGAACACATTCTCCCTGTTCAAGGCTTACTTCACCCACCACCACCACCACCACCACTGGCAGGTGGGTCGGTAACCAGGGGACATAGATTCAAGATGATTGCCAAAAGAACCAAGGGAAAGACGTGGAGAATTTCTTTACACAGAGAGGTGTTGTGGTCTGGAATGCATTGCCTGAAAGGCTGGTGGAAACAGATCAACAACAACTTTCAAAAGGGAATTGGATAGATACTGTTTGCAAGGATATGGGGAAGGAGTGGGACTGATTGGGTAGCTCTTCCAAAGAGCCAACACAAGCATGATGGGCCGAATGGCCTCCGATGCTATTATAGTCTATGATTCTATGATAAGAGTCAAAGGAGCTGGATCACCTTGTGTGCTCATGTCTGGGGTGGGAATCCACACATAGGCCAAACCAGCCTCTTTGTAGAGTTCCTGCAGGAATTCAGGTTTCATGGGTTCAGGTTTCTGGTTACAACCCCATGAATTGTGGATAATATCCCAATCCGTCTGGAAATTCATCACCGCAGTGACTCCCAGCTCCTGCTTCAGCTTCACCGTCACATGTTCTAGCTGTCGCGGGCAGCTTCCCAGCCACAGGCTCGACAGGATCCTGTAGTGAATAGACAATATAATAATAATAATAATCCTGGCATTTGATACCGCGCCTCATCACGTCTTTGAGACGTCTCAAAGCGCTTCACAGGATACACTGTAAAGTGAATTAACTGTATTTTGTGGACAAAATAATGTCACACTTACCTGTAGTAGTGAATAGACATTGTCACACTTACCTTCAGCAGTGAATGGACATTGTCACACTTACTTTCAGCAGTGAATGGACATTGTCACACTTACCTGTAGTAGTGAATGGACATTGTCACACTTACCTGGAGTAGTGAATGGATTGGTTGTCTGCAATGTGAAAGTAGAAGTCAGTGGTGTGTTTCATCTCGTTGGTGAAACCACTCTCCTCTATATAGTGCCCGACGGGGTGACAGTAAACCCCATCCACCACGTTACTGTCGGTAAATTCACAGCAGCGGTCATGCAAAGGACCATTTCCTAACAATGACAACAAAACTCTTATTTGGGACTTTCCCCTCTCCTACAGCCCTCTGTTCCCCTCTCCTACACCCCTCTGTCCCCCCTCCTACACCCCTCTGTCCCCCCTCCTACACCCCTCTGTCCCCCCTCCTACACCCCTCTGTCCCCCCTCCTACACCCCTCTGTTCCCCTCCTACACCCCTCTGTTCCCCTCCTACACCCCTCTGTTCCCCTCCTACACCCCTCTGTTCCTTTAGGGCCACACATATCCATTGCTACTGTTACATTCACTGATCGCTGATCGAGTTGGGGCTGTGTCCAAGTCGGTGTTGATCCATCTCTCTCCGTGGAGCAAACTCTTGGTTCTCTTATTCCTCATTTCTTGGGCCTCGTGACACTCACAACCGGTGCGGTTACTGCTGTCAGTCACTCGCTGATCAGATTACAGAGCGTGGAGCTAAAATTAACCGGGACTGTGTGCCAACATGTCAGCGGGAAACCCGATGAGCAAAAAACAACTAAGCTTTCCCTTAGTAAATAATGATTTGTTACTTGCTACCAGTTCACCAACCCCCCACCACCCTCTACCCTCTACCCTCTACCCCTACCCATCCCCTCTACCCACCCGCACCACCCTCTACCACCCCCACCACCCTCTGCCCACCCCCTCCACCTCTACCCACCCCCACCACCCTCTGCCCACCCCCTCCACCCTCTACCCACCCCCACCACCCTCTGCCCACCCCCTCTACCCACCCCCACCACCCTCTACCCCTACCCACCCCCTCTACCCCCTACCCACCCCTCCACCCCCTCTACCCCTACCCACCCCTCCACCCCCTACCCACCCTCCACCCCCTCTACCCACCCCCTACCCACCCCCGGTGCCATGTACCTTCCCAGATGATCTGCCCATTGATGTTCTTGGCAAATTTGAACCAGAATCTCTCGCTGACGTTGTGCTGCAGTGAGATGTCGGCGACCCACAGCTGGGCTGACCCTGGGGCTGACCCTGGGGCTGACCCTGGGGCTGGGGCTGACCCTGGGGCTGGGGCTGACCCTGGGGCTGACCCTGGGGGCTGTGAGCCGGGCTCATGGGCACCGCCTTCCCGGGATCCCAGTGACCGAGCTCCGGGCGGGAGCCCGACACACACAGCGTCTCAGCCCCACCGCCCAGAGACACCACCACCGCGAACCTGAACAGCATAGCCACAGGGGGACAGCGGGGGGCGGGGCGTGGTGACAGAGGGGGCGGGCGTGGTGACAGCGGGGGGCGGGGCGTGGTGACAGCGGGGGGCGGGGCGTGGTGACAGCGGGGGCGGGGGGCGGTGACAGCGGGGGCGGGGCGTGGTGACAGAGGGGGGGGCGTGGTGACAGCGGGGGCGGGGCGTGGTGACAGCGGGGGCGGGGCGTGGTGACAGCGGGGGGCGGGGCGTGGTGACAGCGGGGGGCGGGGCGTGGTGACAGCGGGGGCGGGGGGCGGTGACAGCGGGGGCGGGGCGTGGTGACAGCGGGGGGCGGGGCGGGGGGACAGCGGGGGGCGGGGGGACAGCGGAGGGCGGGGCGTGGTGACAGCGGGGGCGGGGCGTGGTGACAGCGGGGGGGGCGTGGTGCCAGCGGGGGGCGGGGCGTGGTGCCAGCGAGGGGGGACAGCGGGGGGCGGGGCGTGGTGACAGCGGGGGCGGGGGCGTGGTGACAGTGGGGAGGCGGGGTCTCCCGTACCAATGACGAGACGAGACTGCCCCTTGGTCCCGCCTGCTGTGTCATGTTACGTTGTGAGAGCTCGCAGCCGATTGGTGGAGGAGGCCGCCTGCCAGCCAGGCTGTGCCGGGAGTGGCGATTGGTCAACCGACGGGGTAGGACCCGCCTACTCACCGCCGGTTGGTGGAGGCCGACGTCTGTCAAAGCGGTGGCGGCAGGTGATTGGTGGATGGTGATGTCACTCGCTGTCACTCCCTCCCCCGGTGACATGATGGCCGCCGGCGGGAGACGGCAGCAGCAGCGGCGGCTCCTCAACACCTGTTTCCTCTGGTTTGTCGGCCTGAGCGGCGCCGCGGCCCGACTCCATCATCTGACACTGAAGGTAGACAGTCACTACACTCCCCCTCACAGTCACTACACTCTCTCACACAGTCACTGCACTCCCCCTCACAGTCACTACACTCTCTCACACAGTCACTACACTCCACCTCACAGTCACTACACTCCCTCACACAGTCACTACACTCCCCCACAGTCATTTCACTCCCCCTCACACAGTCACTACACTCTCCCCCTCACACAGTCACTAACTACACTCACCCCCTCACACAGTCACTACACTCTCCTCCTCACACAGTCACTACACTCCCCCACAGTCATTTCACTCCCCCTCACACAGTCACTACACTCTCCCCCTCACACAGTCACTAACTGCACTCACCCCCTCACACAGTCACTACACTCTACCCTCCCAGTCACTACACGCTCCCCCTCACACAGTCTCTGCACTCTCCCCCTCTCACAGTCACTACACTGATCACAAACAGTCACCGCCTTTCCTCCTTCCTTCCCTTTTCCTCTCTTCCCCCCAAAGGCCGACGTCCAGTGCCAAAACGCTCAATAGTGATAATGTTGGTGTCTGTGACGCGGAGCCTCATCACGTCATCGAGACGTCTGAAAGCGCTTCACAGAACACACTGTAAAGTGCAGTGACTGTGCATTTTGTACGCGAAAAACGCAGCGGCCAATGAATTGCCCGGGAAGCCGCTCAGTGTCAGCGACCGAGGGTTTTTAATTCCCAGGAGTTTAGCCCATTCCAACCTCGGAATATCTGCGAAGCCGGAGCGCCTCCCTCCTGATGCGCTGGAGACGCTGCGTTGCCTCGTGATCGATGCTCATCTGTAACGTGGGGACAGCTGTTGGTTTGCCCTCCCCCACCCGGCGGGTTTGGTGACGCACTTTAATCAGAAGCTGATTAAGAACGGCCGATCAAAAGCAGCCGCCGTTCAGCCGTGGTTTCCACCACCTGCTTCCCCCCCCGGACCCCCACCCTCCCCAACCCTCACCCTGCCCGACCCTCACCCCGCCCGACCCCCAGCTCGGGTCCAAAGCACTTGACTGTCCAGCTCAACTCTGACAGTCTGTGTGTTGGCCGCACTGGGGTTTAAACCTGGGACCTGCTGCTCGCTGCATTAGCAGCGTAACAGATGGTGCTGTTATTGACCGGCTGGAGTCCTGAGATGACTTCATTGGATTATGTTCAAGTTTACCTTGTCCCTGAGGAAGGTAAATAACCAACAGTAATCGTCTGGAAAGATAATGCTGTGATAATCGCCCACGCCCAGCCCCTCCTCCAGTCACAAATGGATTCACCCCACGGGTGACATTCCCGTGGTCAGATCTGGGCTTTCAGCCACTACCTCCCGAGACTCTGGAACACTCTTCCCCTATCCCTCTGCCTTGCCCCCCTCCTTCCCCATCTTCTGGTCGCGCCTGAAGACCTTCCTCATCGACCGTGCCTACGGTCACCTCCTCCCAGCTCGGGGTCCTGCTCCGCCCCTGTTGAGCGCTCTGGGACGCTGCCCTGTGTGAGAGATGTTCTGCAAATGCAAGTTGTTGCTGTTGATATAGCGCCGTCGCAAAGTGCTTCACAGGATCTGCTGTAAAGTGCATCGACTGTGTGTTTTGTGGGCGAAACGTTGTTAGTAGAATAGAAGGTAAATAAAGGGGGGGTCAGTTCTGGAGTTTCCTGAGATGAAGGAGAAGGCGAACTTTGTGTAAAATGGTGACATCTGACAAATGCTTTTACGAATTGCTGTTTTTAATTTAAAAAAAACTTCCTTCTTCTCAGGGGGACACGAGATCGAAAGTTCACCTGAACACGTTTGGTTTTTATGCCAATGGGACCCTGGAAGTCAATCTGACGAGTCTTGTGTTGAAAACGGACATCGATTTCAAAAAAATAACTGTGAGTCACCGTTGGGAGGTGCCAGAGCTATGCTGGGGGTTAGGCTGTGGGTAAGCTTATCAAAGGGAACCAACCAATAGTACAGTGAAGCTCCTACAGCTATAATAATAATAATCCTGCCATTTGAGTTTCACAGCGTATACTGTAAAGTGCATTGACTGTATACTTCGTGGGGTAGTCGATCAGCGGATCGCCTTTCCGTGAGTGATGATACCATTTTAAGAAATAATAATAATTCGGTCCCTTCAATCCACGACTGTTTGTGGGGACACCGCTGTCCGTAATTGGCTGCCGCGTTTTGGCCACAAAGTATATACAGTCAATTCATTTTACAGTATATTGTGTGAAGCGCTTTGAAAGGTCTCGAAGATGTGATAAGACACTATATCAAATGCAAGGATTATTATTATTATTGATGTGACCAATTTATTGTTTTTTTAAGGGATTATTACCCCTGGAAACGCGATCCGCCGGTCGACTAACAACCGGGTTCCTATTTACTGCTGGTAAACAGAGGCCTGTTTGTGGAGTAAGGAAACTTGCCCAACATTTTGCCCTGCCCGGGATTCGAACCCAAGTCCTCTCGCTTGCGAGGCGAGGGTTCTGACCACTGAGCTACAGGAGCTCAGGGAGTGTGAGGGTCTCTTACCATGTTTGCGAGAGCGTGAGGGAATTGTCGTGTTCCCTTCGGGCGGGAACATTGGAACATAGGAATTGCTCGAAGAGAAAAGACCAAGGTCCATCTGGTTCCTCCTGGTAGTCGAGTGCTGCAATAATGGAAACGTTCATAGCGATTAATTCTGTACGTGTTAGCCTCACATCACAGTGGGAAGCTTTGGGAAGCTTAGATCCGAAATTGCCTACTTCTTCCAAGCCAACGGAAATACCCTGTTGCTAGTCTCAGTGTTTCCCAGTGTGGCAGTTCATTCAGTCGTTGTCTCAACAAGCGCTGGGTTACACGAATGCCTCACTTCACCCCTCGCTCATTTGCTCACTCGTTCGCACTCTGCTGACACTGCTGGTAACCTTCTACACTCGGAGACGTTTAAAGGGTGAGGTAGCGTAGGCCTTGAAGTAGCCTTTCCTGAGTGTGTGCGTTGCTTACGGAAGTCGGAACGGCAATCACACATTTGCCCGCGTCTCTCGCGTCACTTTCTGCGGCTGATCCTCCCGTGTCTTCTCTTTGCACCAGATCGGGTTCAGCCTTTCCAAGTCCAAGACCGACGGCGTGTCAACCTATACGGTACGTTAAAACCGTTTCCACTTTGACTGTGCTTGCGGTCACTTCCCTCCCCCTGGCTCAGCGGCGGGCTCCGCCACTGCATTACCCTGCGTGTGTGAGGGGCGCGGTGTAAATGCAAGTTGTTGTGGTTTGCTCCGACCACCATTTCCAGCCCCTCGAGACATCCTTCCATTGCTAAATGCGCTGCGTAAATGTCTATTGTGTTGCGTTGACATTATCCGAGGATTGTGCTTTCCCGCCACAGGTAGATGAATCGGACACGTGTGTCCTGGAAAAGTACAATAAATCCACAAGGGAATCTCTCACTCTCTTCAAGTTTGATCTGAATACGAATCAGTAAGTCCTGAGCTCGGCTGGTACTGAGCTTCATACTCGTGGAGATAGATTGTCGGAATAGAATGCGCTCTCTCTCTTTCCCTGGAGGGACGCCCCCTGCTTACCTAATTCTGGAGAGTATTAGACGCAGGTTGCGAAGAGCCAAGGTTTGGGAGGGGGGTGGGGGAAGCCCAGAATGTGCATTGGGGTAACTGCTGGAGTCTAGCCAGCTAAATCCACATAGCTTGGCCCTTGAGAGAGCCAGAGAGAGAGAGAGAGAGAGAGAGTGTGCTAGGACCACCCTACCCGCTAGTTAGGAGCTTTGGCTGCAGGGTTAACAGGAGCTGAGGGGGAGAATTCCCTGCCCCCAGTGACTGGTCAGCCCTTCCAAGGGCTGTCGATGGGGACCAGTGAGTGCCCTGGAATACTGTGGATCTGCCTGGCTCAGGAGCTGGACTAGAGACCATCACAGAGGCCTGGGTCGATTCCGACTTTCCGTGGCCAAGCATGTCACCTCGGAGCCAGTTCAGCCCCAAGGAGACTCTGCTTCCCTCCCTCCCCCCCCCCCCCCCCCCCCCGCGCCCCAACCACCGGCGATTAGTATGCTTGGGGGAGCCCAAAGTGTGCGTTGGGGTAACTGTTGGAGTCTAACTAGCCATTGAGAGAGAGCGCTGTCTGGCAAGCTTTTCCGCTGCTTGTCCAGCTAGGATCACCCACATGGTGTTGGAGACAGATGTACAACCCTTGTGCCGGCAGAGTCTCCGTGAAGAAGTTTGGCGAGCAAAGGCAGCTGCTGATCGATGGCACAGACAAGGTGCGTGATGTGCCGTCCCAGACAGAGTCGGCCAAACCGGTGATCGGTGCCGATAAACAGAAGAATAAACTGCCCGCGAAATCCCAAAATGGTACTGCCGGGAATCCGTCCAAAACTCCAGGTAACATTTAACATCAATTTAACAACATTTAATGTTGAGTCCCTGTAGTTCAGTGGTTAGAGCAAGCGAGAGGACCCGGGTTCCGTTCCCGGACGGGTCTGCAGAACCTTAGGCAAGTTTCCTTATCACGTCATTGAGACATCTCAAAGCGCTCCGCAGAATATATTGTAAAGTGGAGTGACGCAGCAGCCAATTGCGCACAGTGACCCACAAACAGTTGTGGGCCGAATGGCCTCCTTTTGTTCTGTAAATGTAAAACATCAATGGTGATACCTCGCGTAGCTCGTCCAAAGTTGCAGGGCCCCCCGAGCTGTATCTGATCCCGACCCTAACTGACCTTTAAACACTTGTCAGAGAAAAGCAGAAGGAAACGGGAGCAAAGTTCGATCGAGAGCAACAAGACTGACAGCCAGAGCAACACAGTGAAGAAACAAATCGGGAGCAACGACCAGGTCAAAGCCAAACAGGTTGGGGATGTGTGAGCGCGCAAGTTACTGAGGGAGGTGGGAAGGTGTGGGTCGTGATAACGAGATAATTGGAGTTGAGGTACAGATCAGCCATGATCTTATAGAACGGCAGAACAGGCTCGAGGGGCTGAATGGCCTCCTCCTATTCCTACGCGCCCAGAAAACAACACTTGCACCAGTGGGTTTGAACAATTCAAAGGAAAGGTTTATTTTGTGTAAAAAAAAAAGGGGGAACTACCTCTTCACATTCATCTTCTCCAGACTCCCCTTTACCTCTCCAGCTCCCGGCCCCATACCCGTGACGTGCTTATCAGCCAGACGCTGGGGCCCAACTAGTACATACGGCTGGAAGTCAAAACAGGTCTGATTGAAATCCTGCGGCACATGCCTCGTAAGCGAGAGGACGTGGTTTCGATTCCCGGGCAGGTCAGGGGGAAACCTCCACATACCTCTTGCTTACCTTCTTTCTCCCTCTCTCTGTCTCGCAACAAAAGGGCAAGAAGACTGAAGACGCGAAGATGGAAACCTTTTATCCACTCGGGAAAATGAACGATTCCTACAACTTTAACGTAAGAATTTCATCTTCCAATCCATCCATCCTCGGGGACACTTGACACTAAGCGCTTTTTTTTAATTGCAAAACCTGAATTTTGACTTATTGAACATTGTCCCATTTTTGAGGTGTGGGAGAGTGAGAAGTGCCAAATAATAATAATCCTCGCGATTTGATACAGCGGTTTTATGTTTTAAAAAAAAAAGGGGAAGCCACAAGTCTTTTTGTGGTGTAATGTGTGGAGCCCTGTGGTTAGAGAGCTCACCTCGCAAGCGAGGATTTCGGGTCGGGGCAAAACCTGAGGCAAGTTTCCTTACTCCACAGATACACACTCACACACGCACACGCCTCTGTTTACCCAGCAGTAAGCAGGAACCCAGTTGTCAGTTGATTGGTGATTCGCTTTCCCGGAGGTAATAATCCCTTCAACAACAATAATAATGTGGTCACTCAATCCATGACTATTTGCGGGGACACTGCTGTGCACAATTGGCTGCCACGTTTCGCCCACAAAATATACAGTCAATTCACTTTACAGTGTGTCCTGGGAAGCGCTTGATCAGGCGCTGTATCAAAGGTCAGGATTTTTATTATATTATTGTTTTGTGATGTTGTTATTGCAGTTCTTTGTGAAGGTGATGTCCACGAAGGAGCAAGGCCTGTATACCCTGAGCTTTCACAACTGCTACAACGCAGCCCCGGGAAAGCAAGGTGCGGTGGTGTTCGATATGAAGGTGAGTCAATGAACCTTCCTCTAACTGATCCTTCTAAACCAGGGGGGTTCCCAAACTTTCTCCCAGCTCCTCGGGCCCCGAAACGATCTCTCGGCCCCCGTCCCCCCACATGCTCTAACCCGCTGGACCTGAGCTGTATTTATAACTATAATAATAATAATCCTTGCATTTGATATATGCACCTTATCACATCTTCGAGATGTCTCAAAGCGCTTCACAGGATTTCACTGTGAAGTGGAAAGACTGTGGGTTTTGTGGGCGGGCAAACACGTCAGCCGGTTTGCGACCAGCGACGACATCCCAGGGAGATCAACAACAACAACAACTTGCTGTATTTATGCAGCGCCCCCTCACCAAGGGTAGCGTCCCAGTCAAAACCATTTGAGTCGCCCTCGGTTCCAAACCCCTGACTGTCTAGCGCCTTGAGATGTTGTCCCGATGTGAAAAGCACCTAATACAAATGTCATTTGGTATTTAGTATTTTGAATTGAGCGTTTCCAGCAGAGGCCGTGACTTTCTAAATCTTCCTTTTCCCTAGATTGATATAAGAGCGAGGAATCCTAAGAACTTCCTGTCAGCCGGGGAAATGCCGCTGCCTCTGTTGTACATGGTCATGTCTGGCTTCTTCTTCACTGCGGCTGTATACTGGGTTTACTTGCTCCTGAAGTACAGGTACAGCAAGCCTTTCCACAACTCCTTTCCTTACCCGACTTTGATTGACTTTGTTATCCGTCCGGATAATACTACTACTACTACTACTACTAATGATCCTCGCATTTGATATAGAGCCTTACCACGTCTCAAAGTGCTTCCCAGGATACACTGTAAAGTGAAATGACTGTTTTTTTTTGGATTTTACTTGACAAAAACTGCTCCCAGACTTTTAAAACCCCATTCTGTGTATCTGCCTCTCTGTCCCCACACTCAGGTTCAGTGTCTTTAAAATCCACTGGCTGATGGCTTCACTTGCGTTCACCAAGACTGTTTCCATCCTGTTCCACGCTGTGAGTATAATAATAATAGAGTTTGCTATAGGAGTGGAAGCCATTTTTACTCGCACTCCACATCTTTCCTTCTTTCCTCAGCTAGGACTGGGGTGATGGGGGGACGGAGTTTAGTGTGTGTGATAGGGAGCCAGTGGAGCCTGGCGAGGCCTGGGGTGATGGGGGATGGAGTTTGCCACGGGTGAGTATGCAGGCAGCGGAGTTTGGGGATTAGATTATCATATGCAAGAGCGTGACGTTTTTATAATCAACAGGGATCACTCAAGACAGGTTGAGCTTGTATTACACGGCTGATTCCAGCCAGGCTAATGTACATAGATTTGTCTCCCTTACAGATAAACTACCATTTCATTGCTGTTCGAGGGTATGCCATTGAAGGCTGGGCTGTGATGTACTACATCACTCATCTGTGAGTATATTGATTACAGAGTTCTAGAAATTATCATATTATAATAATCCTTGCATTTGATGCTGCGCCTTATCATGTTGTTGAGATGTCTCGAAGCGCTCCACAGAATACTCTGTAAAGTGGATTGGCACTACCCTGCATGAGCGAGGGCTGCTGCGTAAATGCAAGCTGCTGGTCTGTGGTGTTTGACAGTGTTTTCCTTGTTGTGAAGGTTGAAAGGCGCTCTGCTCTTCATCACTTTGGCTCTAATCGGCACTGGCTGGGCATTCGTCAAGTACATTCTGTCAGACAAGGACAAGAAGATCTTCATGATAGTCATTCCTCTCCAGGTCAGTGGTGTGTGTGTGTGAGTGCGCGCGGGTATAGGTGTCTGTGTGTGGGGTATGGGTGTGCGGGTGCGGGTATGTGTGGGTATGAGTGTGTGCGGGTGTGTGTGTGAGTGCTTGCAGGTCTGGTTGTGTGTGCATGGGGGTGTCGGGGATGTGTGAACGTGTGTGTGATTCTGCACATGTGACTGTAACAAACAATAAAGAATCCTTCCATTGGATACAGCGCCTTTCACACGGGCGGGTAATGTCTCGAAGCGTTTCAGAGTTTAACAGAGACTTTGCGCATTTTGTAGACATTTTGTTGCGTCTCTGCTTCAAGGTATTGGCGAATACAGCTTATATAATCATCGAGTCAACAGAGGAAGGGACCAGTGATTACGCCTTGTGGAAGGAGACCTTGTTTCTGGTGGACCTGATCTGCTGTGGGGCCATCCTGTTTCCTGTCGTGTGGTAAGAATCTTCATCAAAGGCTAAAGAGAGAGAGTACAGCGAGGGGTGGTCTTGGATTTTCTTTTTAGGGCGATACTCAATCCTCTGGGGACGGGGGTCTGTCGGGTCACAGAGTTTTGTGCAGGAGAGAGGAAAGACACATCTTGTGAAGCGCTTTTGGGACCTGCTCCAGACGTGGGTGAAAAGACAAACGAGCTATTGGTCCACGTCCCAGTTTCATTCCCTACATCGCTTTCTGCCTTTCAGGTCGATCAGACACTTGCAAGAGGCGTCCAGTACGGATGGTAAAGGTCAGTGACCTGCAGGTTAATCCTGTCCCTGGGAAGTCCTGCACTCGGTAGCTTGAGAGCTCCATTTACTGCCTTCAGTAAATACTAGAAGGTCTCATATCAGTGTCATTTCCCCCTTTTTTTGCTGTTACCTGGTGTTCTGATGTTCTCCATGTTGACTCCTTGATTTAGGTGCCTGGAAAATTGTCTTGTAAGGCAGTGTGTGTGTGTGTGTGTCTGTGTGTGTCGCTCTCCCCTGTTCTAATCGAGATATAGAAGCTGTTGAAGATTGTGTTGTGGCTGCAGAAGGTCTGATCTCTCATTTCTCTTCACTAACTGTTTGTTTCTCTCCTGCATCTGACGTCGATCGGCAGCTGCTATGAGCCTGGCCAAGCTGAAACTCTTCAGACATTTTTATGTTATGGTAGGTACCTGCACTGGCAGTGACAACAACAATGTGCTTATATATAGGACCCCTCATGCGAGGTAGCGTCCCAGAGCGCTGGGTACCCGCAACAACAACAAATGGCATTTACATAGTGCCGATGGCGAGTCAGACAGGGCAGGCAGACAAGGAGCAGCTCAGAGTAACCATACTATGAGTTAAGGCTGTCTGATAGTAGGGGGCAGTTTGAGAGCTCTCCCTGACCCTCTGCTTCAAGCAAAGATGTGGGAGTCCGTCTGTTCGTCTGTCTGCAGATCTGTGTTATTCAGTGTTGGTTCATCCACAAGACACACACATAGTCGTTGAACTTCACACTGTATCCCGTGACCCACTGTGGACCTGAAAGGCGCTGCGTCGAACATAAGGTAATGATGGAAAATTATCTTCACGGTTTTTCTCTCTTTTCTGCAGATTGTTTGTTACATCTACTTCACCAGGATCATCGCCATTCTCCTCAAATTCACCGTCCCATTCGAGTGGCAGTGGCTGTACAGTGTAAGTCTGACATGACGTGACACAGATACAAAACACAGCAGTGTAGCCTTCACAGAACAAACTGTAAAATGTAGTGACTGTTTAGTTGGTTGCAGTGTCAGACTGCTCTGTGATCAGCAACTGTTTTTGTGAACCCCCTCAGCTCCTTGTAGAGGTGTCCACACTGGTGTTCTTTATCTTAACCGGCTACAAGTTCCGGCCGGCCTGCAATAACCCTTACCTGCAGCTGCCACTAGACGAGGAAGATATTACAATGGATGAGGTGTAAGTAACAATTTTTAATCCATCAGAATAATGCAACGGAGGTCATTTCATGTCTTAAGTAATTCGGAGCTTTGCAGCTTTCCCTTTTTTGGAGGGTGCGGGATGGGGGTGGGGAGTTATCTTTCTTTGTGTTTTGTAATTGTTATAATCCTCGTATCCGATGTGCTGCTTTTCACACGTGAAGGACGTCTCAAAGCGCTTCACAGGATACACTGTCTCTAACGTTCATCTGAACAGATGGTGTGGTGGTTATGGGGTTGGGGTCGAGGAGGAAGAGAGAGAGAGAACCTCATACAACGTGGACTATTAACTTACAAAGTGCATTTTCTCAAATAGATTGACTGAGTCGGGTTTGCTGGAAAATGTGACCAAATTGAAGAAAACTAGCAATGGGAGAGACAAACTGCGGGATACCTCTTTATGAAGCCGCCGTATTCTGTCTCTCTGCGTGTGAGTGAGTGTGTGTGAGTGTGAATGAAGTAAAAACCTTTCCCAGAACCCAGCCACTGCACCCCGAAGCTGTGGAACTCTCTCCCTCAGTCACTCCGCCTTGCGCCCCCCCCCTCTCCATTTTCAGCTCGCTCTTGAAGACCTTCCTCTTCGACTGTGCCTACAGTCATCTTCCCCCCCCCCCCACCTCCCCCTGTCTCAGGGTCGGGCTCCGCCACTGTTAAGCACTCTGAGAAGCCATCTGGCGTGAAGGACGCTATATAAATGCAAGCTCTCGTTCTCCATCGAATTTTCTAGAACTGTTAGGAGGAGAACACAAACACACACGAACAAACGTGACTGATTTACCTGCACATGGGGAATGCAATGAAGATGTACCTTCATACCGTAGAGTCCATTGGAATACTCTCTTTCTAAACCTTCACGACCCGACTTGCTGAAGCCGTGTTCGCATCTTCTACCCAGTGACGTGTGGCACATGTGGCTCAGCTCCTTTGTTAAGCTCCACTTTTCCCACACATTGAAATCTTGGCCCTGTTTTTTTTTAAAACCTTTGGCTTTTCTGGAGAGAGAGAGAGGGGGTGGGGGGGTGACGACGATGAGAAATGGAATGGTGTTCAGTTGAGGTACTCTTCCCCTCTTCCCCCCCCCCCCCCCACCCACTCACTTTAGTTCCTTGCTCAGTACTATTTAAGGAGGCCCTGTTATTGCCTCCTTCACACCCATAATGCGGTTTCACTGGCCCGACTTCAGGAGAGCGGCAGGACCCGGCCCTGTGCCGAGCCTGGGTTACACTGTGGGGTGGAGCGCCATTTGGACTGCGTGAGAGTGCGTGTGTGTGTGTTCTCTCTCCCTTTAGGCTGACGTGAATACTTGCAACCCGACTGGCACTTCAAGGGGGACCAACGATGTATAAATCGGCGATTGTGTGTGTGTGTATATATATATAATATATTTATATATTGTCACCCCCCCCCCCTCACCCTTCCCACTCCCCCAAACACCCTCCCATTGTGGCAGTTCTACTTAATGCGGCTACACGCCTGAATCCTGCAGGACAGAGCTCGGTTTCTCAGCCCTAATACTCCTCGCTTGGAGGCTGCGGAAGGAGGTTTCAGCTGACTTGCTCCCAATAAAACTCCCGTACCTTATTCGCCAGCCCTTAGGGAATCTTGGGACATCTTCCACATAGGGTCCGTCCGCCCACACTCTTTTCCCGCTTTCCCAGCCCAACGGATCCAATGCGACCAACAACAAATTACATTTGTGTAGCGCCTTTCACGCCTGGAGGACGTACCAAAGTGTTGCATTGCCAGTAACCCCCACGAACCATTCTTTCAGCTTTCACCCCCCTCCCCCCTGCCCCCCCCCCTCCCCCCTGCCCCCCCCCCCCCCCAAATTGCCAGGAGCACTTTTTATGTTTTCTTTTGACGTCGACTCTTTCGAGCCGCGCGACGTTTCTCTGAACGGAACGTCTCGATGGGGGAAGGGGGTGGGGGGGGATAATTTGCGGGTCGTGGGCAGTAAGTCAGTGGACCTGTTCCCCCCCCCCCACCCGCCCCCGTGTCCACGTGACCAGGCCAGTAGAGGAGTGAGGTGCATTTTTCCGAGATGCTCCTTCTCTGGACTTTGGACAGATCTGGAAAAGCTCCCGTCTGGACCAATGTTATCTGAACTTCCTTTAATAAAGTGTGCAAAGGACGAGCAGCCCCCGCACCCCCCCCCCCCCCCACCCCATCACCCCCTGACCCCACCCCATCACCCCCTGACCCCACCCCCCTCACCCCACCCCTCACCCCCCACCCCCCGTCCCTCTCTCTCGCTCTTCTCCCCTTGTCCTGGTTTGGGTGCCGCCCCCCGACTGGTCACTGGATTCAAACTTCCAAATCTTTGCCATTTGAGCCTTTTTTTTTAAATATACTGTGTGTATATATATATACACACGTGTGTGTGTGTATATATACACGTGTGTGTGTATATATATATACATGTGTGTGTGTGTGTATATATACATGTGTGTGTATATATATATATATACATGTGTGTGTGTATATACACGTGTGTGTGTGTGTATATACACGTGTGCGTATATATATATACATGTGTGTGTGTGTGTGTATATACACGTGTGTGTGTGTGTATATATATATACATGTGTGTGTGTGTGTATATATATGACGGGAAGCCATGCGTTTGAGTTTGTAAAAATGATCAGTAAAATGCAAACCTTTGCTGATCTGAGACGGCTGTTTTCTTACCCGCGACACCCACAGGACCGGGACTGAGGGACACCCCCACACACCCCCCCACACACACACAGTCACACACACCCCCACACACACCCCCACACACACACAGTCACACACACCCCCACACACACCCCCCCACACACAGTCACACACACCCCCACACACCCACACACACCCACACACACACAGTCACACACACCCCCACACACACCCACACACACACACAGTCACACACACCCCCACACACACCCACAGTCACACACACCCCCACACAGTCACACACACCCCCACACACACCCCCACACACAGTCACACACACCCCCACACACAGTCACACACACAGTCACACACACACACACACACACAGTCACACACCCCCACACACACACCCCACACACAGTCACACACACCCCCACACAGTCACACACACCCCCACACACACACCCCCACACACAGTCACACACACCCCCCACACACACCCCCACACACAGTCACACCCCCACACACCCACACACACACAGTCACACACACCCCCACACACAGACACCCCCACACAGTCACAGTCACACACACCCCCACACACACACACCCCACACACAGTCACACACACCCCCACACACAGACACCCCCACACAGTCACACGCCCCCACACACAGACACCCCCCACACAGTCACACACACCCCCACACACAGTCACACACACCCCCACCCCCACACACAGACACCCCCCACACAGTCACAGTCACACACACCCACACGCGCCGAAGGAACGCTCCGGGAGTGCGGGGACTGTGGCGGCGCCGAGAGCTCTACAGCGGTCAGAGCCGCGGGAACCGGAGGGGGAGAGGGGTCCGGGGGGTGAGGGGGGTCCGGGCCCCGGCGCGGAGGGGGTGAGGGGGGTCCGGGCCCCGGGGGGAGGGGGTGAGGGGGGGTCCGGGCCCCGGGGGGAGGGGGTGAGGGGGGGTCTGCAGTTGGGGGTATAACCGTCATTATCGGTTCATTTTATTTATTACATTTGATTATTTTGTTATTTTTCACGTTTTTAATGAATTTTATTTCATTTAATTTTATGTCATTTTTACTGTGTACTTTATGTCCTTTTATTTTATTTTATATGTTATGTTCTCTGCAGTTTAACTTTAATTATATCATTAATTTTATGCAATTTTATTATGTTTTATTTTATTATTTATTATGTTGTAATTCAATTTTAATTTACGTTAATTTGTTCGATTTTGTTATATTTTATTTGATGTAATTTTATTTCTTTATTTGATTTTATTTACTTTGACTTCTGACTTTTCGCTTAAAGTTTCCTTTTAATTTAATGTCTTCCGATTTGTTTTTTTTCTAAAAAATTATTTTAATGCATTATTGCATCGTGTGAATGAATTAATCTAAACCGATTAATGATTATAATGATATAATATATAATTAATATAATATATATAATATAATAATAATAAACATGAGCGTCTGCATGGGGAGGGGAGGGGAGTGGGGGGAATTACTGCCGGAGTGTAATCAGCTAAAACCACACAGATTGCTCATCTGAAAACACTACTAATAATATAATAATAATAATAATAATAATCCTCGCATTTGATATAGCGCTTTTCACGTCGGGAGGACGTTCCAAAGCGCTTCACAGAACACACTGTAAAGTGATTGACTGTATATTTGTGGGCGAACGCGGCAGCCAATTGCGCACAGCAATGTCCCACAAACAGTCGTGGATTGTAAATGACCAATGTATTATAGTTTTGGTTTGGGAGGGATTATTATTAGGCTCTGTGTGGAGTAAGGAAACTTGCCCAAGGTTTCGCCCTCTGCCGGGGATTGAACTCAGGTCTCTCACTTGCAAAGCGAGTGCTCTAACCACTGAGCCTCAGGACTCCACTAAGGAGAGGGAATAGCGCTGTGCGTTCACCTACAAAATACACAGACTCCGTGAGAGCTCGAGGGGGTTTGGGGGGAGAGGGGAAAGATGACCGAAAGAGCGGTCACAGAGAGGTAGGTCCTGTGATGAGGGTCGGGAGGATTGCCAAGTACTGGGAACGCCGGAGAGGTCAAGTTACAGACAGGACCATATTTATTAGGATAGCACAGCAAACATAACGACCCAATCTGACCACGAAGGGGGAACCGGGAGAAGAACAGTTTGGCCTCATTGAGCTCTTCCCCATTCATGACCTGTTTCAGGTAGAGGTTAAGGATTCCCCCCCTACCCACCGCCCCCCCCCACAGCGATGCGACGCGACAAGAGAAGGGAGTTTCTCTCTCCCGACCAAAAGCACAGTCAAAGAGGTAAGTCTTGTGGCGTACTTTGAAAGGAGGGAGGGAGGGGAGGGGAGGGGAGGGGAGGGAGGGAGGGAGGAGGGGAGGGGAGGGGAGGGAGGGAGGGAGGGGAGGGAGGGAGGGGAGGGGAGTTGGTGGACTCCAGGATGGAGTTCCAGAGAGCAGAGTGGGGGGGCCTAAAGGTTCGTCATGATGATGTTGCGGATGCTGTTGATAATAATATTGCTCGCATTTGATGTAGCGTCTTATCTTGTCTCAAAAGTGCCACACACAGAATATACTGTGGAGTGTAGTGACTGTATATTGTGTGGGGGAAACCACTCTGTTGCCGTTGTGGTTGATTTTGGCTGTTGAACCTTATCGGTCAGTTCGGTGAAATCTCACCGCTGCGAAAGCAATTGCAAGTTATGATCCTGAGGAGAGTTAAACTAATTTTGAACATGGTCCCGTGGTTAAAGAGCAAATTATAAAACGTACGCACGGACAGGTTTCCTGTGTTGTCCGCATATTTCATTGCTATCAGAGGTGTGTAGAGTACATT